TATAATTTTAATGTTTATATATTGAACATTAATCAGACTTTAAGAAAAGTAATTTATGAATTTAAAGTGTTAGGACTACTTGTACTAACATATAAGTAGCTTTTCTTTTGTAAATACTTTATACAACCATTAAAAAATGACTTTGGATTGTTCCTTAATATGCGCTTTTCACTTTGGTCAAATTTAGATTTAATTGCGACACAACTATTTAAAAGTATTAGAACTTTCAGTTTTTATAGTATATCTTAGATTATGGATTCATCGAAAATATGTATTCATAAGTGGGTCTTCTGCTTACTGAATAGGATGTCTTAAATCTAACGATTGCTAGTCATAAATATTTTTATTTTCAACTTCTATATGGGTTTAGTAATTGCTATAAATAGTTAGTACCAAATTTCAAGCGTTATTTCTTTAAATGCAATCTTTAACCTTTTTCGTGGATCCTCTTACGTGTATTTGTAGGTTCTTTCCGATTATCTATCAGGGATCTTACTTTTGATAAAATATATTTGCATCAAATAGGATAAATACAGATCATTTTGGTTGTCTGAAAAGTTAGTCTCTTTTTAGGTATCCCTTCAAATTTATCATTAAAAACATTATAATAGAACTATTATTCTTTTGTTAGGAAGATGACGATGAAACAAATTGTATAGATCATTATTCTAAATATATTTTTAAAGAATTCGTTGGGTCTAGAATTAGATCTAGAAACATACCCATTGTATAGCTTTCTAAGTGCTATTGGACTAAATTTTCTTAAAGGATCAGGAATTTATTATTCGATTTAGAAATCAAAATTCAGAATATTTGGAGGACCTTTTATTTGGGTATAGAAAAAATGTTAAAGAGTCGTTAAAATCGAAGATCCTCATCCTGCAATAACTATTTCTTTTTTTGTATTTTTCCACCCTAACTTACCTGAAGATGGATCATTTATTTTTGTATTTTATTGAATTACCACCAAGTAATTCAGTAGAAATACCTCTAAGGCTGTATTTATGCCTCTAATCAATATCTGGATTCTAACAAATGTAATGATTGTCCTCAGAATTGTAATCAATACAATACTTCTTTAAAATATATAGAATGTATTCTAGGCTTGTTTAGAATAATAGTGAATAATTCATGCGCTTGCTATGATAGTTATTTTTAATGTAGCTATGGAGAATGCCAAATATATAGTTAAATTTGTCTAAAATCTTCACCTTCAAATCAATGTGAGATTTGTTTAGTTGGAGGTTAGTTAAGTGGTATTGGAACTTGTGACTAAAATCCAAATAATTATTTTTACCCACCATTTGATTGTAAAAATATTTGCGGAGACAGAATTGTTGTATAAGCTATTAATAGTCCCTTTAACGAAGAGTGTGACGGTTACCTATTTGATTTTAAAAGGTGCAGTAAAATATGTTAATTTGTATGATTGTCAAAATAATCAATGTTTCTATTGTATTAATAAATATCAACTGCATATTAATTTATATAGATATGAATGCGATGCAATTTATAAATGGGCAAGGATGCCTATTATATAAACCTGGATTCATTTTAATTGATCGTGCATGTGTAGCAATTTGTGGGGACTCATTAGAAACATGTTGAATAATGAGAAGATGGAAATCTCATTTTTGGAAATGGATGCCATCTATGATACTTTAGTTGTGAAAATCAATGAGTAAACTTTTATAAATGGAAATAGTCTTGTATGTTACTGGTTATCAAAGCTAGATGGAAGATGGAAAGTACATTACATTTAACCTCTTTCTGCTTGAAAACGAAAAATGATATTTATTCAAAAGCCCTTAATAATCATTTTATTAAAACTATTAGTACAATAATTAATTAAACCGAATAGGTTTAGTGGCTTTGGAAAATAAATCTCTTTAGCAAATATATCAAAATGAAAATTGTATGCTTTTCCTTATTTTTTTTTTAATCTGTTGTATTATCAAACAAATAAATCTTTTTGAAGCTGAGCTATTAATAACAAATCATTAAAGAAATTAGGAAAGTATAATGTATAGAAATTGCTTCATACTAGTTAATAATGTATGAATCACTGTCTTGAATTCGAAAATATGATGGGTCAACATTAAAACAATTAGAAAATGCTCAAATGAAAAACTCTCGAATGTTGAAAGAAATGCCCATATATTGTTAAATTGCTTTTGAGGGGCATCCCTTTCTTTTGTAATGCTGGTTATAATTTGGAAATAATTGGCAATTCTTGTACATCTATTTGCGGAGATAGCACAATTATGTTGAAGAATTATGTGATGATGGAAATCATCTTATTTATGATGGTTATAGCTGCTAATTTTAATGTTAGGAGGAATGTGCTGATTGTTAACCTGGTAATTTTGAAATGGTTTAAAATGAATGGCAAATTATTTCATTCCAATAATTTGTAGTTTAAGATTATAATTCATTATTTAATAATATAATGACTTCTTCTGCCATTCCTCTTCATTTAGAGGGAGCTGAAGTAATGATAGGGGACGCCCTATGGAAACTTTATGAGAAAGAAGAATCAGATATAAATGTCAAGGGCTACATTTATAATGAAAATGAGAATAATCACTACCCTTTAGCTCTATTTGTCGATTCAGATGATCAAATGATAAACAAAGTCAAAAAATATTAATCAATAAAGTATAGGTCTCGAAAGGAGGATGCATCAAACAATTATTGCAGAGGTTATTTTGCTCTTGGGAAAGAATTAATTAATCAAAGTTTAGATTAATTGAGAAAACAAATAGAAAGTATTGACAGACTAGATTAATATTACTTCTGCGTTGAGTGGTGGAACAGGATCAGGTTTCGCCACTTATCTTTTGAAGAAAATTTCAATTGAATATGGAAGAAAGACTTAAAAAAATGCATTCTTAGTTTATCCTTCTCAAAAAATGTCTAATAATATAGTAGATTTCTATAATATTATATTATCCACTGAGTTAACTTCAGATCTTTGTGGCTCTGTTGTAATGTTGGATAATTAATAAATGTATGAAACCATAGATTCACAAATTGGTTTGGATTCTGTTTATTACACTCACTTAAATAATTTAATATTATAATTAATTACATCTTATACGTATTGAGTATTTGCCATCACATCTTGATTTTCATCTTATACCATTTTTCTATCATCTTTGGGAGTAACTATTTTTTAGAAAAATCTTGCATGCGTGTGTAATTATGAAGAAGTGTTAACATTGTCTGGTTTCTTACGGTTATTGGTTGTTTGTTAGGATGATTTTCCAAATTTCATCATAAAATTTACCGTTAATGACTTTAATTAATTCTATAAATTTCTGATGAATCTATCCAAAAGATATGCTGTAGGAAGCAGTAATTGAGAATCCAAGTATATATAATTAGATATGGTAGAGGTTCTTGTTGAGATTTTTGAATTGAAATTAAATATCCAAGAGCTTTGCATTTTGCATAATTCATTGAGAGAGTTATTTAATAAATGAAAATAATCGAAATCCAATATCTTTTTATGATGCTGCAAACAAAAATTCCTGTTTCTTTCTCAAAATAGCAAATTTTTATTAAAATATACAATGCTTTGAAACCATTTAATAATAAAGTTATATATTCATTATTAGAATTCCAATCTCATATTTTTGGGCTATTACCATGAGTATTCTAGAAAGCCTTTAAAATTAACAGCTAATTTTTGAATTGAAGTAATTAGAATTTAATTATTATTTATTATTCTAATTAGATTATTTTTATAGAATTATTTCAAATTCTTAAGTTGATTGTTTATGTATTTTTTGATACATAAGTTATATAAATGTCATAAGGAAATTTATATATTGCTCCAACAGTTGATAATATTCCAATAGTTGAATCTTATTTAATTACAATATTTGATGGAACAGGATCTATGAGTGGAGAATATGAAATTGCAGTCAATGCTTATAATGAAGTTTTTCAAACTATTTCAAGAAGAGAAGAGTACTAAATGGCTTATGATTAAGTAAAAAATTTGCTTCCCTTCCAGAGTGCAGGTTCAGGTAGTATTACAAAAGCATTTGAACATGTTTTCGAAAGATTGCTGAGCAATACATGTTACTATGGAAAAAACATTACTATTCTTTTTATGAGCGATGGAAAGGAAGAATTTACTTGTTCCAAACTTGAAAATTTATTAAAGTAAATGAATGAAGAGTTTAGGGTTCAATTCTTATGTTTTTCAATTGGAAGCGATTTTTACACTCCTGATATGAGTCAATTATGGGGTATGTTACACAATACTGGATAAAAACACCCATATCCTTTTAATATTGAGAGACCCTCAATTAACTTAAATACTCAATTTATTAGCAAATTTTAGGATATAAGAGACAATTTCCTCAAATTCCCTGTTTCTAAATTAAAAACAAATTAACCTGTCCTTCCAACTGCCACTTCTAAGCCAAGTTCTGAGATTGAAATAGAAGCAGTATTCTTGTGCTATTCAGAAAGCGTTATAGTGAATGGTCAAGTCATTAAACCAATTAACAATGAGTTGATTTACTAAAAATTTTTGGCAAAATCAATTCAAAAGGTATTTCTAGACGGAGGAAAGCAAGATGATTTTCAAAAGGTAGAGAAGGTTTTTAATAATTTAAATCGAAATAATGAATATCTTTAAAATAAAAAAATATTTGATAATATTTAGATAGTGAAAGAAGGAGCTAAGGGAAATTTAAAATTTACAGAATTGAGTCCTGAAGACTAAAAATAGGTTATTTGTGATGTTGAAAATTTTAACGTTAGATTAATTCAAAAATTCAAGATTGTTATAGAATCTGAAAGAATAGAAATTAAACCTTCATTCCTGACAAAGTTAATGCAGATATTTTCACTTTGCACTTGCGAAAATAAATGAATTTTTCGAATTATAAATATGTAATTAATTCAAATTATTGCCATTTCTTTTCATTTTAAATTCCCAATATTTTATTTAAAGTTCTAGGGGTTTGGTACTTATGTCCCCCTGTGTGTCCTCTCTCTCGCCGTGCACGAGATGGCTAAAAGTCCAGGCGACAATTCCGGAAAACTTTCATGAGAAGGCAAAAAATCCCAGACGGCGAATTCCCGAAGACCTTCTATACCCATCTCACTATTTTTGTTTGCTAAGTGGTGGGTTTGGGTTTGGGTTTGGGTTTTGGGGTTGGGTTTGGGGTTTGGGTTTGGGTTTGGGTTTGGGTTTGGGTTTGGGTTTGGGGTTGGGTTTGGG